GGAGGTTTTCATCCCTAGTGTGATTCTAGGGAGGTGTTCATCCTTAGTGAGATTCTAAGGAGGTGTTTTCATACTTTGATTTGTTCAGAGGAGGTGTTCATCCCTAGTGGGATTCTAGGGAGATGTTCATCCTTAGTAGGTTTCTAAGGAGGTGATTGTCTTTTTAATTATTTTACTTTTTACTGGTTCTTCTGCTGAGTTGATTGTAATTTGTAAACTGAATTTGAAAGATAGTGAATTGAGAGTCACTCTTGTGTTAAGAGTTGACTGGGAACTGGATGTAGGGTTGACTATACCGAACCAGTATAAATTATTGTGTGCTCTTCTCTTTCCCTTATCTTTTTCTCTTTTTCTGATTATATTATTGTTTCCACTTTATCTGTGTTCAAAAAAATTATTGACTCACAAATAAATTTTTAATTTGACATCTATTTTAATTTGTGCATCTATTCACCCCCTCTAGATGCCATTTGTCTAACAAAAATAAGAACACTTACCATTTTTTTTTTCAATTTTATAAAATAATAACATATATCTATCAAATTTCCTTTTGTTTTATTATTCAAAGAAACAGGTTGATTCTCTCTTCTTTATCATCTCTCCCAACTAAATTTTAAATTGTTTGCATTTTAGAAAAGATTTGGTTATTCGTGTATATATATATGTGTGTGTGTGTGTGTGTGTTTTAAAATAGACAAAATAAAGTTATGACCAAAATTGAATAAGACTTATTTTTATTCAATCCATTTAGGTCATGACCTATATAGACTTAAATCAGGCTTGTTCGTGGATTTATGGACCGACCCGAGTTATAAAATAATGATTATTTTTGAAATAAAAATTAAAAAATATTATTTTATTATATATATATATATATAAATATATATTATAAATTAATTTGATAAGAGATTCACTTATTTTATTAGAGTAATTTTCTAACAACCACTTATTTCAAAATCTAATGAGTAAAAATAATTACTATTTTAAATTAATAAATTACTTAAAAATAATAATGACAATGAAGAGTAAATTTATAATTTTTATTTTGGGATTGAATGATTATTCTGGTAAGATATCTTTCATAGGAGTAACTTATATGAGTAACTTCTTATATTAAAGAATGTAAAATATAAATTTATTGTGTTACATTATTCTTAAGCAACTCATTATTGATTTTATTCCAAAAAAAATTCTTCATAAATTTTAAAAAATACATTTTCCTATTCTTTTTTCTCATTTACTTTGTTTTGTTTATTTTTATAAGTTTTTTAATAAAATAATTATTAATAAATTTATGCAATTTATATAAGATTCCTCTAATAAAAAAATATTTTAAACAACTAATATTTTATTTAAGTATTTTATCAAGCAATTTATGTTGAAGATACTATTATATATTAAATTATTAAATAAAAAATAATTTTATTAATATAATTTCAATTTTAAAAATATATTTTTATTATATATTTTTATTTAAATAATTTTTTAATTAAATCAAAATTGGTCAATTAACCCATAAACCTAACATAGAGTCAAACTAAACTAATTTAAATAATATAACTCATTTGATTTATTTAATTATCGGCTTGTTTAATGATAATCTAATTTGTTTGATGACATATATAACTCATCTTATTTATAGTATGATAACGTCAATTTGGATTTACTATTTTTTTGTGATTATACAAGTCAATTTTTTTTTAATAATATGAATATTGATTAAAAAATTAAAAATCAAATTTATAAAATAAACAATTATAAAAATTGATAAAAAATAATAGTTATATAATAAATTAATAAAATAATAGTTATATTTTTATATGGCTAAAAACACATGTTAATGATATAGATGATTACTACAAGAAACTTCTATAAAAGTGAATAACAAAACAAATGTATTTAAAAGGTTAAAAACAACTATATAGTGTTAAATGAGAAAAAAAATACAAAAATTAAACTTTGTTAATGTATTTAAAAGGTTAAAAACAACTATATAGTGTTAAATGAGAAAAAAAATACAAAAATTAAACTTTGTTAATGTATTTAAAAGGTTAAAAACAACTATATAGTGTTAAATGAGAAAAAAATACAAAAATTAAACTTTGTGAAAAATAAGAACACTTACTAGCTTTTCTTTTCATTTTTATAAAAATATAACATATATCTATAAAATTTACTCTTATTTTATTATTTCAAACAAACAGGTTGATTTTCTCTTCTTTATCATCTCCCCCAAATAAAATATAAATTGTTTGTATTTTAGAAAAAAATTGGTTATTTGTATGTATATATACATATAAATATGTGTTAAAATAGGCTTAACTCAAGTTAAACAAAAATAAAATAAAATTATGGTCTAAATTGAATCATACTTATTTTTACTCAATCCATTTAGATCATGACTTATATGGATTTAAGGCAGGCTAGTTCGTAGACTTATGAGCCTACCTAAATTATAAAATAATAATTAATTTTGAAATAAAAATTAAAATAATATAATTTTATAAAAAATATATATGTATTATAAATTAATTTGATAAGAAATTCATTTATTTTATCAGAATAAGTCTTTAACAACCACTAATTCCAAAATCTAATGATTAAGAATAATTACTATTTTATATTAATAAATTACTTAAAAATAATAATGACAATGAAGAGTAAGTTTATAATTTTTATTTTGAGATCGAATGATTATTCAAGTATGATATCTCCCATGGGAGTAATTCATATGAGTAACTTCTTATCTTAAAGAATGTAAAATATAGATTTATTGTGTCACATTATTCTTAAGCAACTCATTATTGATTTTATTCTAATAAAAAAATTTCTTAATCAATTTTAAAAAATACATTTTCTCCTATTGTTTTTCTCATTTATGCAATTTATATAGGATTTTTCTAATAAAAAATTATTTTAAGCAACTAATAATTTATTTAAGTATTTTACCTAGTAATTTCCATTAAAGATACTATTATATATTAAATTATTAAATAAAAACTAATTTTATTAATATAGTTTATATTTTAAAAATAACTAATTTTTTAATTAAGTTAAAATTAGTCCGTTAACCCATAAATTTAACTTTGAGTCAAACTAAACTAAAAATGATAACCTATTTTAAAATAAAGTAAAGTTAGACTAAAAATTATATGAAAGCAATAAGGGGAAGATTGATGGCAATGTGAAACATGTCCTTACATTTTCAAGATATGATCTTGATGATGATTTAAATCAACAACCATTCAAGACTCAAGCAAGCCCAAAATGAAGACTGAAGACTAGATATACATTCTGAAGAAGATGATGACAAAAGCAAACCCAAGATGAAGCATGGAGACTAGATAGAGTCTTATAATATTGGATATGGAGGTACAAGTTGATGAAGTGATATTATGCATAAGCCTCCAAAGCACAAGTGTGATAAAATTTTGTAACATGACATTTTTCATTGTCATAATCAATTATGATGCATCGAAATGAAAAACGATTTTATCTTTGTCATAATTAATTATACTGGTAACATAATCGATTATAACAGTTCAAATTTGAAAAATATATCTGTTTTAAAGAATAAATGTTTTTTAAATACATTCTGATTTTTTTCTATAAAATTATTAATGACCAACGACTATTTTATGATGTTATTTTCCTATTTAAATGAGTTTTGATAAAAAATAAAAAACACAAAATTACAGAATTCGAAAATTCAATTTACATTCAATCAGTTTTGAGAAAAGAATTATGAGCAAGGCAACATAACACTTTTAGGTTTTGTGAGAAAACTTTTTCATACTGTCATCTGCGCTTTCACTGTCAATCACACTGTGTTCTTGGAGTTATCATTCTACAGACTTCTACAATTTGTTGTTTCCATTACCCAAATGTGACTGTTCTTATTTTATTACATTCATCTTTTGTGGGCTTAGGTAGTTGTTGTTAAATTCCTTGTGTTAGAGTTTAAGTGGTTGTTGTTATTTTGTTATATTTCTTTGGGTTTCCTGTGTAGAAACTGTTCATCCCTTTGATTTGTTTAGGGAAGTGTTCATCCTTAGTGGGATTCTAAGGAGGTGTTTTCATCCCTTTGATTTGTTCGAGGAGGTGTTCATCCCTAGTTTTTCATCTCTAGTGTTTTCTTCCCTTTGATTTGTTCAGGGAGGTATTCATCCTTAGTGAGATTCTAAGGAGGTGTTTTCATCCCTTTGATTTGTTCGAGGAGGTGTTCATCCCTAGTGTGATTCTAAGAAGATGTTCATCCTTTGTGTGTTGGTGGCAAATGAGGTGTTTTTCATCCTTTGATTTGTTCAGACGAGATGTTCATCCCTAGTGAGATTCTATGAAGGTGTTCATCCTTAGTGGGATTCTAAGGAGATGTTTGTCTTTTGAATTAGTTTGACTGGTTCCTCTAATGAGTTGATTGTAATTTGTAAACTGAATTTAAAAGATAGTGAATTGTGGTCACTTTTGTGATTAGAGTTGACTAGGAATCTGAATGTAGGGTTGACTATACCCGAACTTTTATATATTACTATGTACTTTTTTCTTCCTTATAGCTCTGTGATAACATCTACTTATCTCATTCCCTTTATCTCTTTGATTATATCGTTTCCGCTCTATCCGTATTTTATTTGATAATTAAAACTCAATTTAACAAATTATTGACATCATAAATAAATTTTAATTTGATATTTATTTTAATTTGTAGATCTATTCACTCCCTCTAGATATCATTTGTCTACCATTATTTTTATATATATATATATATATATATATATATATATATATATATATATATATAATTTAACTAACTTTTGAGAAATTAGACGAGAGAGAAGGGGATAAGAAGACAAAAATCTCAATCAAGACGATATAACTATGATTTCCTTTATTTAACTAATTGACAAAAATCTCAATCAAGAAGATATAACTATGATTTCCTTTATTTAACTAATTAATGCACATCACAAAAAAAATTCGTGATTGCATTAATTAAACATTAACTAATGAGTAGCATTAAGAAACATAACGTTGAAGGGTTTATTCTTTGTGAGATACAAGCGTCTTCCATCCTCACCTTTCAGTGGATGAAACATCCCAATATCAGAACAAGTTGTTGAGTTAGTCTGGCAGAACACAAGCTTGTACCAAAAATTGTAAATCTCAACGTGAAAGGTGCCATCAAATATTTGTTGTCCTGGATGCCCTTCGGCACCACCAATTCCCACAAATGTCTCGTTGAGTTCTTTATCCACAAACACCATCCACTTGGGGGATTTTGCACACTGTGGACTATCTTTGAACTTGATTTCTAGTGGACTACCTGTAGGAACATTAAAAATTGAAATTTAACTTTGTATCAGCAACAGTGACAATATGAAAACCAGACTTAGATATATGATAGGCTTCTCTTGACAGAAGACACAGGATAGTCTTAGAAGCACAGAATAAATCAATTATTTCAAGGAATATGTTTTTAGAATTTCTCTGAAACATCAACATATACAAATAATAAATTAGTAAATTATGGATGAGAACCTATATAGATTTCAATAAGGCTGATTCCAGGCAAGATAAACTTCACAGGGAAGCCAAGCTTTGAATTATCATGCAGAACAGTGAGAGCACAGTTTGAGTTCCCAGTTTTAGCAAGTTTCAATCCACCATTATCCGGTGGATTAACTGGAGCAGGGACTGCTGGCAGGATGTAATATGAGATACCTGGAAAAACACCGTTCCCATATACGTCAATAACTTGATCAGCATTTTTTATGGTAGCATTGGTGAGAAAAGCAAGGAGGGGGAGGAAGGACAGGGATACAATTAGGATTGCCTTCATATTGATTCACTGAATGCCTATTGTTGGATCGGCTTTGGTTGTATATATACTCCAAAAATAATTAGGAATTGATTATTTATTGTTTTTAAAAATAGTTTTCATAATAATAACGTTTTTATTTTCATTAATGCACAATAAAAATAATACATCTTGATTATATTAGAGTTATTTATAAATGAAAATAAATATTTTATATTTAAATTGTTTAAAGATTAAAAAAATTATTTAAAATTAAAATAAAATTATTTATATAACCAATTAATCAAATATTAAGTAATTTATTTATCAGATTCATAATAAAATATTTACTTTTATTCTAAAAATATTTATTAATAACTCAAAAATACCTAAAAAAACCTAAATTTAATGAAAAGTTATTATTAATTACGGATCATTATGATATTTATAGCCACATCAATTAAAAGCTAAATTATATAAATACAATTGAGTAATCAAGTTACAACTTTTCTTTTCTTAAGAAATTTTAGATTAGATAATATGTAGATAATTTTTTTAATAATAATAATAATTAAAAATTAAAAAATATAATTAATAACATGTAGAGGTTTGTCATATTTATATTAATTAAAAAATATAATACAAAACAATTATACAACTTAATCTCTTTCATAAATAGTACAAATCAATAACACAGTTAATGAAATATTAAATATAAAATATTTAAAAATTAAAAAAATTAAAAAAATGATGTAATAAAAGTAAAATGCAAGAGAATGTGTCTACAAAACTTAAGTCAAATCAATTACATTAAAATATTATTAAAATATTAAAAAAATATATGTAAAAAAAGTTTAAGAAACTAATAAAAAATAATTATATAATATGAAAGATTAGATGAAATAGAAATGCGTAAAAAATAAACTGATTTACAATCCAAACCCCTCTATTAATAATAGTTATATATGATTATTAAAATATCAAAAGTATAATTTTAAAAAATTATAAAAAGGCAGTTATAACTTTAATAAAGTCATAATTATGTAATAAATATTAAAGTGAAATAGAAGAAATTGTGTCAAAATTCAATTCGACGATCAAATCATATTAACGGTTATTAAAATGTTAAGAATAACATTTAGGAAAAAAAAATATATATATATATATATATATATATATATATACTAGGAATAAATTTGAAAATAAAAATAAATTAAAAGCTGTATAGATGATTATAAAAATATTAAATATTTAATTTAAAATTTTTATAATAAAACATTTATATTAAAAAGTATAGATTATTAGTATAGATTAATAATATACATTATTATTAAAATATAAAAGGTAAAATATAATAAAATAATGAAATAAATAGCTATATATATATAAACTAGTTAAATTAAAAATCTAATAAAGAATAACTATATGACAGTAAAGGTAAAATAGAAAAAAAATGTATATAAAAAACAATTATACAATATGATTATTAAAAGTATAGGTTAATAGTATAGATAACTATTAAAATATTAAAAATAAAATGTAAAAGAAAATCATTTAGGAAAACTCATAAAAAGAAACCTTTAAAAGTTAGTAAAAATAATTATATAATAAAATATGAATAGATCGTGAACACTCAAAACAGCTGTACAAATCAATATTATTAAAAATAAAATGGAAAAGTAAAATTTGTAAGATTTATAAAAGAAAAATTTATAGAAATGAATAAAAAAACAGTTATATGATAAATTAATAAAAGAAGCAGTTTTTTAATAAAGAAAAGGTTAAAAACATAGATTAATATTATATATTAATAGTATAGATGATTATTTAAATATTAAAAATAAAATTTAAAAATAATAAAATAAATTTTTTAGAGTGTAGTGGTGTTTTTAGGGTTTGCAGCAGACATGCCTACATCAATCCTAATTTCGATTTGGTTTTTAATACCTAAATATATTTGTGAAAATTAGAGTAACAACTTTTTCTTATTAAATATGATAATCTAAATGGATATTTTTTTATTTGGAGAACTAAAAAAAACAGAAATTAAGTATTAATTAAATTAAAGTAGAGGACAAATTAATAATAAATAAGACTGGAGAATAGGCACCATGAAAAACTTAACTTGCATTTATTATTGTTACTTTTAGTTTAACTATTTAGTTAATACAAAAGGGCTTCTAACCATATATTTGCCATTACTCCATGTAATAGATCCAAACAGATCTTCTTTCAGGGAAGTCAAAGTTGAGGAGAAAATCACTTGGTAACTTAGTCTTTTACTACTTTTGGTAAATTGTAATTTATTTGGAGTTAATGTAATTTTGACTCCACTGGGAGCCTCAACAACGGGGGAGTAAGCTGTTTCATCTTCTTCACCAACGTTTGTGACAGTTCTGCTCACATTGACAACACTTTTCCCAGTGAAGTTTACTGCTATGGAAGGGTAGTTTATGTTGGAGATTAGATCAGAACTTGAATCCTTAGGGCAACTGAAATTGTCAGGAACAGTTCTGGAGATGACCTTAATAGTGGTTATGTCGAGTCCAATGTAACACAAAAAGTTTAAGTAGTCAATGGTGTTGGTTTCATAAACTAGTCCTGGTTGCAATGATTCAGATGTTGTCATCTCCCCTGCCCCAAAGTCATATGGTGTGGCTACTGACCCTGAATCTGTTGTTATAGGTGTCTTCATGTTGTCACTTTGAATTGCTGCATACAAGAGAAAGATAGGAGTTGATACATTGGTAGATCACATTAATTAGAAAGGTTATATGAGTACATTACACTCAACTGTTTGTATACCCTAGAAACACATTATGTTGCATACCAAGTAAGGGATTATGTAATAATCATTGACAAGGCATAAGTAATTGTGTGTAATATCAAGAAATCATGGAAAGAAAGTGCTGAGTGTAATTTGGTTGTTATATATTAATCAAATGGCTGCTAACCTGTGGTCATGATGGCAGATTTGATTGCAGAGGCACTCCAAGTTGGATTTTGTGTTTTGATACTACTTGCAAGCCCTGAAACGTGTGGACAGGCCATGGAAGTCCCAGAGATTATGTTGTACAGCGAGGGCTTTCTTCTTTTGGGAACCTCGTCTACTCCATTTCCAATCCATGCAGCAAGAATATTAACTCCTGGTGCTGCAATATCAGGCTATAAAGAAAGCAGGTTCTGTTTAGGGTTAAGCATTAAGATTAGTTTATCATAATTTTATTTACATATATAAACATATATTTCAATACCTTGAGAATATTGCTTGATAGTGTTGAAGGTCCTCTGGATGAAAAGTTTGGCACAAGAGGAGCAGGTTTATAGTCAAGCACTGTTGTTGTTGGTAGAATTGTTGCAATTGGGTTGCTGCAATATTATATCACAAAAATTAAATTAAGTTGCGGTTAGATTGTATGTTCAATCTTGGTCTCAAACAAGATTCAAAGCGATTTCTAAAATTTACAGTGTTTTCTTCTACTGAGTGTGACTTACTTGGATGAATTGATATATTGGAGTATCGTGGCACTATCTTTTGAGCTTATAACCGTTGCAGGGAAGTCCCCATAATATGAAGCTATTGCTCCATTTTCGTCAGTAATATGAACCAGGCCTATTCCTCCCACTGCTTTGACTGTGTCAATTTTGTCACTAGTTGAATATTCACCATCATCTCTGCCATCACATACCACAATCTTTCCTTTGACTTTATTTGCATCTAATGAATCTGAGTGACATTGTCTGCATTTAAAAAGTGATTTAATATTTTTCTGAGAGGTTGTTAATTAGGAAACCAACATTTATCATTTCTTTGTTCATTTTATGTTGCCCAATTCCAAACCCTTGAGGCTTTTTAGCTTCCAACTAATTGCAAAAGGTTTTTTAACTTGGGAGATTTTGCATACCTCGCTTCAGTTAAACTACTGCTGCTCGCCTTCGCAGACTCACTGTATATTATTGGATACTCAGCCGAATTTGAAAGAGGGGAGAAATTTATAGCCCTACCCTGAAGTTTAACATCAATTATCGATGATGAGCAAAGATGATATTAGTTGCATTATACCCCTTCCAATATAAATAGGAAAACAAAGTACAGCAATGTTATAAAATAGAAAAATTATTAATTCTTAAGTATTTAGAAAACATAATATTCTTTTAATCAATACCTTACCAAAAAAATAAAAACTCCCCATAATAATACTTTTAAAACATTCATTCAACGAACATTCGAGAATGAATTGTTTTTTTATATGATCTCAACCTTTTTTTAATTCAACAATTAAAGCAAGAAAGAGACTTGCCAACATAATACATGTTACCTAGCTCTGACAAAAGCAGATCCCCACTTCTTGAAACAAAGGTGCCTTGTTGTGTTAGAATTTGGAAACTTGAAAGAAGGAATGATCTTCCTTTTGAGTCCACGAGAGATTGTAGAAAGATAAAAATCGCATGACCCATAATTTAGTATTTTGTATTCCAACTTTTCATAGATAAATTTGCTTTTGAGGCATTTAATTAATAAATTCTTATTTATTTTTTAATTATGCCTAAGATATAAAGAAAGAAAAAAATTACGGTTGAATAAATCACCTACCATGATGGTTTTGTTATCACCCAAGACAGTGTTAGACTGAAAATCTCGGTCGATGGTAGAAGCTGCAACCGTTAAAATCCAAGGCGCGTCATTTACAACCGTGTACGAGTTCGGTCCAGAATTGCCAGCAGAGCATGCCACCACAATGCCGCGTTCCACGGCATGGAATGATCCAATGGCAATCGGGTCGGTTGTCAAGTCAGGTCGAAACCCCGGTGATGCACCGAGTGATAGTGACAGAACATCGACTCCGTCGGCAATGGCATCATCAAATGCCCCGAGAATGGCAGACCCACGACATCCAAAGTTGGAACACACTCTGTAAACCGCCAATCTTGATTCTGAAGACCCACCCTTTGCATTCCCTGCCGCCAAACCATAGTACGATGCATTGGTCACGGCGGTACCCACCGCGGTAGATGCCACATGAGTCCCATGGCCAATCGAGTCTCGTGGTGTGTTGTCGCCCTCGTCGTCCCCGTTAGGATCAGTGTAAAATCTTGCGCCAATTAGCTTCCTAATCAAAATCAAAATGAAGACAAACCTACCCGTTACTGGTGATCATGCACAACCAATCAAATCATCTATGGAATACTCAAGTCATTTTTTTTTTCCTCCTGTTTTTTCCTCTTATCACATCTTATCTTTTATAAATATATCATTTTGTTTTTCTCCTTTTTTACCTTTTATTTTAAATATACACAAGGGAGTTATATTTTAACACTCATTCATCCACAAACATCTGATCTACAATTTATTTTATTAATATTATAATTATTAAAAGCTTTAATTTAAATAAAATTAATTTAAAACTATTATTTTATTATTAAATGAAGTTGTAGTTGAGTTGTTTGAAAAAAATAGAGTTGTGGAAAGATAATTTCATATATATACATATGAAATAATTTTTAAAGACAAACATAATCATCGGAATAACATGGTCATGAGATAATAATTTACTCAACCATCTTGTTGGATAATTACCTTTTCTTATAATCAATAATAATATTTATATTTTTACTTTATTTATTTGCATGTGACTATATGTATTTCACCATACTACCTGTTACAATTAGAGGAATTGAAGTCTTGTGATTTCATGCATGTGCCTTTCCAATGCGATGGAATTGCACTCATTCCCTCGTCATTAAAACTTGCAGCCTCTGGCCATATACCTGAAATATTTCATTTGTGATATCAACGATCAATAAGTAAATAATAACATGTATCTAATATTTTGTTTTAGTTATTAATAACCTGTGTCTAAGATGCCAAGAACAACGTCTGAGGAGGTCGAAGAATTGGAGAGTGTGTTTGGGTTGGCGTCGATTTTGACGTGAGTTTGGTATTTGAGAAAATCCCAGGAACGAGTTGTATGAAGTTTCAAAATGGGATCAGGGAAAACAGACACAACACCAGGTTTCTGAATAATTGAATTTGCTTCGTCTTTTGATAAACGAGCTGCAAATCCTGAAAAACCATATTTGTAGTTCCTTACCAAAGCCTTGTCATTCCTTCAATTCATGCAAATAATTTTTTTATCAGCCACACAACATGTAGTATATTATCAAGTTAATCAATTGATGTTCACTTTATAATATATGCAATTTCATACCTTTTTAGCACGGCATTGAGAAGCTGAGCATGATCGTTGCGAAGAGAAGGACTTGTGGAATCCGCAGCTCCCATATAAACTATATAAACTTGTTTTCCATTTACGTCTTCGTTACTATCATTCTCAGCTGAAGATGACCTTAACACCCCAAGAACCAGTAACAGAATGTAAAATGAATGCAACAAGAGTGTTATCCCTTTCATGTTAATTAGTTCTTATTCTCTCAACTTAGTTGCACTTAGTGTTCCTGGAAGCACCCTCGGAAGGTATTATATATAAAGTCCATGGATGGATGGGTGCTTAAATGCGTCAGCACTCACAGCAATTGTGATTTAATTTGCGGTGGAAGAAAAAGTACAATCTGCAATGGTGGAATCATGGCATGCTTATTCCTTATGCGCACTGCAATTACGCGTCAACCACTTGTCCACGCATAGTGCGCCATTTGAAGATATAGTTACCGTAAAAAAAATTCCACAGTTGGTGCCTACCACCGTATATTTGATAACTAAAAGTGGAGGCATAGCCTAACATTTAATGTGGCATGTCAAGATTATCACATTATAGCAGTTAAAGCTGAACAATGTATGCTATATATGAATCAAAGTCCTTGTAAGGAACAAACCACCTCTTGCATGCATTACTCTAGCACACTATGATTAATTACTTGACTCTAGAAATTAATTTAGTGCCAGTTATCAGTTTTAATAGAATTGATTTTAATAAAAAATAATTTTAAATTTTTTAATGTAACTAGCCCATGAAATCTGTAACCATGAAAAAGTTTTCTTATTCATGGCAGAATCAAGTTTTCAATTTGAAAATAAAATTATGGGTATGATAATTATCATTGAAGGTTATATTTTTATTATAAATATTAATGATTTATAATTGAATATAAAAAATAATTGACTGATTGTTATTTTATGTATTTTAAAAATGTACATTTCGTTAATTGCTAATATGTCAATTAAACACTGAATAATAATTTTGAATTAGCATAACATTTCATGAATGTGATTAATATATAACATGGAGTTGCACTTATAGATATGAGTGCGTTCTGACACACAAATTAAAAAGATTATCAAACTGGAAATTAATCATGTGGATGAGGGATGGGACGCCAGTAAGTTCCATTTGTGGAGAAATGCTTATCTTGTTTATCCATACAGAAGAACTGAAAGAAAAGGTTTTTGAGTTTTAGTTTAATGGTTTCTCAAATCTCAAGTCTTCAAGTGATGGAGTTGGATGCCTATTCCACTTATTTTAATTTGTTATCTGTCTCTATATATGTGTGAGTGAGTCATCAGAATTGTTGTACTAGTGCGCCATTATTTCCATTTTCCTCATATATATCATCTTTCTTGTGAAATGCAGTACTGTTCTGCACAGAGTGAACCAAATTATTGAATTATTTAAATAATTAATAGGAGTAACAAAATGTTCCAATTGGGTGCAATATCAAATGTCGTTGGCGTTCAAGTATCAGTATTTCAACTGTTGAGAGAATTCCATCGCAATGATTATAATTATGACGATGGTGAAAGAGCACATTTGTCTACAAGTTCATGAGATATGATTATGAGAGTACTATGCTGAAAGAATGTGTTGCAAAATGACATATAATAATGGTATTAAAAGTGAAAATCAAATATGGTTGAGTGCTTAATAAAATGCCAACTTTTTTGGACATGCAATAATATCAGTTGGTACACCGTTAACTAAGAAGGTGAAACATTGCAACTGCTGCTGCTGCTGAGGGTGTATTAACCTTAAACAAAGCCCAAGTGAAATATTTGAAAACCGAGAAGAAGAACTTCATTCATTTCTGTATGTATATAGAAGCTTCTAGTTTAAGTACTTTCAAACACAAATGGATTAAAACACAATTTCCTCACAAAAAATATGAATTCTTATATAGAAAAGAATAAATACACATGGTGTCAAAATGATTAAAGAGTTGGTTTGTTTAAATTTTATATCTTTATAATTTTGGAATTCTACTCTTTCATGATGTTAATAAGAATAATCACTTATTTAGGAAGAAGATAAGATTTATTTATTAGTTGGTTGAGGGTTCTTAATTGGCTCCTTATTCTTTGATAGTTGTGTTGGTTAATCTCATCTAATTGCAAATTTATTGAATGATAATTGGTGAGATTACATCTTAATTATATATATTTTATAAATGTTTCAAATTTTATAAAGGATAAAATTGATGACATAATTCTGTAAAACCTAAAATTTGTATCAGATTTTTTAAAATTAATCTATTTAGTATTATATTTAGTAAAGACCATATCTAATAGAAAATTATAACGGATAGTTTGTCCTAATTTTACGTTTAAGTGTTCCATCACAAGATTAAGTGGTTAATCTCTAGTATAAGTACACCAATATGAAAAAAAAATATTTATGTTTTCTCATTCATAAAAAACTATTTATGTTTTCTCTAATGCAAGTACTTGAACAATTTGTGTTTTATCTTTTTGTTAGAAGCTAAAGTACTAAATGAATTTAGTTGGTCAAATATTTTTAAAATAAATTTATGACTTTTTATTTCACACAATTGTAATATTTTAAGCTGTCATATTTAATGGAAATATATGCGTTACTTTAAGGATAATTATAGCAACAAGAAGTAATGAAGCCTAGTTAAGGAATAAAGATAGATAGAAAAAATTGTTGAAATAACATGTGAGAGCCTGAGAAGAGAAGTCTCACGTTAAGAAAATTATATATTATTGCTTATTTTTTTTATTATAAAAAAGGTTTAATATTTTTTTTTTAAATCACCTTAAATCTTTTCTTTCTCCTTTATACTAATGCATTGCAAAGTAAATTTTTTCCGGTAGTAAAATTTTATTATTGTCTATTGTTTATTTTGTTTATCTTTTCTCATCTTTTATTTTAGTTGTGAGTTCTTATATAGCTGCTATGATTCCTAATAGTAGTATCAGAGCTGATAGTTTGTTTCTTATTTATGATATTCATAAGTTTCTTATTTATGATAGTCATAGTTGGTTTCTTATTTATGATATTATTCCGCTGCTATAATTATTAGAATAGTGTTGGAAAAAATTCTTAATATGGTTTGTGCTTGCGGTTAATCTGATTTTCCACATCAGAAAATAGTTATTCTAGTTATTGGATATAAGTGTGGTAGTGTGATAGTGCATGTCTAGGAAAAGTTATGACAAGAAAAAACTTTATTTAAGTGTGTCTATTAGTGACACACATCTCTTTCCTGAAAGCTTATATGGTGTACTAGTTATAGTTTACTTGTTGTTCCAGTAGACAATATTATTCATAGTGAAAGGTGCATAAGTCGGCTAAAACCATAACAACAAAATATGAGATAGAGAAGTTTAATGAGAATAATTTTTCATTGTAAAAATTGAAGATGAAGACAATTTTGAGAAAAGACAATTGTGTAAAAATAATTAGAGAAAGATCGTGGACATCACAAATAGAAGGTGAGAAGAAATTTACAACAATGCTATAGCAAATTTATGGAGAATAATGAAAGAAATTTGGAAGTCCCTTATCAAATTGTATAAGGAGAAAACACATATTGAACTTGGTTTATTATGATGTATTTGAATCGTCGATATTATCGCTAGGAGGGGCAAATATTGTGTCAGTGATGACAATGATTACTCCAGAAGATTATGAGTATACCGCATCAAGAGAAAGTTTGTGTTTTCAAAGTTCAGGAAAGGAAAATTCTTGGACTATGCTAATAATGTGAAGGGATATTTCCTGTGGATCTCACTATCTACAAGGTTATTGTTAGCGGTGATATAAATATTATTTTCTTCAAGGTGAACTTAAAGAAAGGATTGATGTGCTCTAACCAGAGAAGACGTAAAGAAAAAGGAAACTTGGTTTGCAGGTTGACCAAATCTCTGTACGGTTTAAATCGGGTGTCCAGGTATTAGTACAAGAGATTTGATTCTTCATTATTAGCCTTGATTACTATAGACTAAGTTCAGACTATTGTACCTATTACAATAGATTTAATGAAAATGATTTTATCATTTTGTCGTTGTATATAGATGACATGTTGGTGATAGGTTCCAATAAAGTTTGAATCCAGGTTTTGAAGGCACATTTGGCTAAAAAGTCTAATATGAAGAACTAGAGACTAACAAACAAGATTTTAGGGATGCAAATTCATCGGGACATAAAAGATAGGAATGTTTGACTTTATCAGAAGAATACATATTGAAGGTCTTGTAGTGCTTCAACATGCAAAGGTGTAAGCCACTTTTTACCTCATTTTCTATCATGTTATCCTCAAGTATGAGTCCTAGCAATGAAATAGGGAGGATGGAAATGTCTTTAACATTATATGCATCAATGGTGGGAGTCTTATGAATACCATGATCGGTACTAGACCAGACATTACACAAGCAGTGAGAGCGGTTAGTAGATCAATGACAAATTGTGGTAGAGAGCATGTGTATTATCAAGAGAATTCTTATCAAAGGAAGCTTGGATATTGTATTATGTTTCGGAGGATCAAAACTAGTTGTCAGATGCTATGTTTGTTCAAGTTTTGCAGGTGATCTTGATAAGTTTACCTTTGTTGGAGAGGTAATAACTAGTTATCTAAGTTATAGGATGTTGTAGCTCTGTCTATTACAGAAGTTGAGTACATGGCAGTCACCCAAACATGTAAGGAAGTTATTTGGATTAAGAGGATAATGGAGGAACTCGGGCACAAGCAACAACAAATTATTGTATATTGTGACAATCAGAGTGTCTTGCACATTACAAGGAATATTGCCTCGTATTCCAGGATAAAGCAAGAAGAATCTGGAAGATGTTATGACAGTCGGTTAGCAGTGACAAATTTACATAGAGGCGATCTTACTAAAGGTCTATTGCAATAACAACATGGAATGAAATAATAATGTATTGTGAAGATTTGATTAATTTAATCAAAATCTTCTAGTGGAAGATTGTGAGAATATAAGAAGAGAAGTCTCACGTCAAGAAAATTATATGTTGGTGTTTATTTTTCTTATTATAAAAGGAGCACAATGTTTACTTTATATATCATTCTAAATCTCTTTCTTTCTTCTCCTTTCTACTAGTATATTGCGTAGTAATTGAGTTCTCTTATTTTTGAGAGAAAATATTATTATTATTTTCTCTTTAAATTTAAAGAGGATATTGTAATTTCTTTCAGTAATAAAATTCTGTTTTGTTTCTCTTTTCTCATTTTTTATTTTAGTTCTCTTTTCTCATATTTTATTTTAGTTGAATTCTTATGTAATGATACGAGAGAGCTGAACACCAAATATTCCTAGGAGTGTAATATCAAGTAAACCCTATTTTTTAATGTAAAAAACTGAACTATTCCTTTTAAAAATTTTAAAAACCCTACCAAAAACCTAGTACTATTATCTAATTTTAATTACTCTCTATTTAAAAAACTTTTTTTTTCATTTTAAAACTGGTTGTTTTAGAAATCTAAGGCATGTAAGATTATTGTTAATTATATTTTCAGTTAAATACTGATTTTGCATGTGTGTTCTATCATTTTTCTTTTATCTAAATTTCAGCTATCATTTTTTTTTTCAAATTCTGCATATCATCTTTTTTTATATATGAACTTTCTCTATAGATTACGATAAATTGATCAGTGAATATTTTAGTTAAGATGTAAATTACCAAAACTTTAAATATTTTTTTAAAAGCAAAGAATATTTTTTATCAAAACAATTCTAAACGAGCACATGACAAAGAACATTATTGGTTTAAATGTTTCTCAACTTGTGTGTAGTAACCTAAACAAAAAATATAACTTTGAAATGGAATAAGTAAATAGTAAAATATATAAATATCGATAAGTACTGAGCTTTATTCATATATAGTTATTTCTAATTTAGCTTTTGGCTATTACAAATGGACTTCGAACAATGTATTTACCATTACTCCATGTAATGGATCCAAATAAATCTTCTGTCAACACGGTCGAAGTGATAGAAAAGATAACTTGGTAACTTAGTTTTTTATTATTTTTCGTAAAATGAAGTTTATTTGGGATCAAGTTGACCTTTATCCCATTGGGAGCATCGATGAGAGGAGAGTAAATTGTTTCATCTTCACCAATATTTGTCACAATTCTAGTAACTTGAACAACTTTTTTTCCTTCAAGGTCTGAGATTGCAATGGAAGGGTAGTTGATGTTGGATATATGATGAGAACTCAAATCTTTAGGACAATTGAAATTATTTGGAACAGATCTGGATATAATCTTAACCATGGTTATATTCAATCCAACATAACATAAGTAGTTCAAATAGTCAATTGTGCTGCTTTCATAAACTAGTCCTGGGTGGAATGGTCCATATAATGTCATTTGCCCAGCTCCATAGTCATATGGTGTGGCTATTGATCCTGTCTCCGTTGTTATGGGAGCCTTCAAATTGTTCTTTTGAGTTGCTACATTGAAAAATATAGGAGATGATGAAATAGTAGATTTCATATCTAAGATTTCATTTCCAAGGTTCATTATAGTCTTGGAAATGAAAATATAAGAATTGATTTTTAAGTGATTAAAATAACACAATTAGGTTTGTTTGATATTTTATTTATAATGAAAGAAAAGTCTAACCAGTGGTCATTATTGCTGATTTGATTGCAGAGGCAGTCCAAGTGGGGTTTTGAGACTTGATGGTAGCTGCAAGTCCTGAAACATGAGGACATGCCATAGAAGTGCCCGAGAGGATATTGAATTGGGAGGGCTGTTTATGTTTCGGAACGCCTTCTGTGTAATTTCCCGTCCACGCTGCAAGAATGTTAACTCCCGGTGCTGCAATATCAGGCTACAAAGAAACCAAGTTATATTTTATAGTTAATAATTGATTGCGAGTAATTTACCTTAATTTATACCCTTATCTATCTATTTGTTCTTACTTTGAGAATATTCTTCGAAAGTGCAGAAGGCCCTTTTGCTGAAAAGGATGGCATTATGGGTGAAGGCTTAAAATCAATGGTTGAAACTGTTGGTAGAATGGTTACCACTGGCTTGCTTCAGATTAAATTATGCATATTGTGAATTCTAAAGTTAACAATGTTTATAAATGTTGACCTCATACACGATGCAAACTCACCTAGTTGAATTGACATATTGAAAGATTATGTCGGCATCTTTTGAACTTATCTCAGTTACTGCGAAGTCTCCAAAATCTTCTCTTTCTGTTCCTCCTATTGGGTCAGTAATATGAATCACACCTACTCCACTTACCTCTTGCACAGCTCCAACTTTTATACTAGTTGCATATGAATGATCTTTACCGTCACATATGACAATCTTCCCTTTTACTAGACGTTTAGAGAATGAACCTGGGAAACATTGTCTGCATTTCACAGTCGATATAATTAATTTTGTCTCGAAGTTTTACAAATACTTGAAATCAAATGCGTGTTTGTCATTCTTTTACGTTAATTCACATTATTGGCAAATCCTAAATTTTGTAATATTAGAGTTGCAAAGTTAATTTGTGACCAATTAACCGGCAGATTTTGTGTACATACCTTGCGTCAGCTAACCTGGCGTCCTTTGCTTTGGCAGACTCACCGTATATAAGTGGATATTTGGGTGAATTTGAAAGGGGAGAGAAATTTAGAGCTTCACCCTGAAATTTAATAATTATTATAAGCACAATTTGTTATGTGCAATGTAAACTTACACAAAAAATTAATACTAGTTTAATGATATTGTTACTGATGCACACGCGTGGGATATCAAGATAATAATTGAAATAGGCTTAACAGTGGTTACCTTGATGACTTTGTTATCACCCAAGACAAGGTTGGACTTAAAATCCCTGTCTATGGAAGAGGCTACAACGCTAAAAATCCAAGGTGCGTCGTTCACAACCGTGTTTAAGCTTGGTCCATTGTTTCCGGCGGAGGCAACCACCAGAATGCCGCGCTCGACGGCGTGGAATGCTCCGATGGCGATTGGGTCGGATTTCAACTCGGATCGGAACACTGCGAAGGAACCAACCGACAGCGAAATCACATCGACTCCATCAGCAATGGCATCATCAAATGCCGCAAGAACCGCCGAGCCAGGGCAATCGTATTTGAAGCACACTTTGTAAATCGCCAATCGCGATTCCGGGGACCCACTCTGGGCATTCCCCGCCGCCAAGCCATAGTATGAGACACCTGGCACGGTGACTCCCGCCGCTGTGGATGCCACGTGGGTTCCGTGGCCATCTTTATCCCTTGGTGTCGCATACACTGTATCTCCTTCAGGGTCATGGTAATACCTTGCTCCAATTATCTTCCTAATCAAAATAAAAATGTTTATATATAACAAGGTTGATCATGATGATGCATTTTATATTTAAGCTGACCTAGGGTTGTTTTTTTACCTGTTACAGTTAGATGAATTGAAGTCGAAGGATTTCATACAAGTCCCTTTCCAACGTGATGGAACAGGACCCATTCCCTTGTCGCTAAAGCTTGGTGACTCTGGCCATATCCCTGAATAAATTTCGTTTTTGTATCCATCAGTTAATTATTGTAATACATAATTCGTCACAACATCAAACAATTGGGGTAGAGATAATTGACCTGAGTCCAAAATGCCAATGACGATGTCTGATGAGGGAGCAGTGTTGGAGGCCCTGTTTGGGCTGTGACTTTTAAGTGGTGTGCTTTGGGCCTTTAGAAAATCCCAAGAACGGGTTGTATGGAGCTTCAGAATTGGATCAGGAAAGACTGAGACCACACCAGGTTCGTGCACAAGTGAGTTTGCCTCCTCTTTTGTTAAACGAGCTGCAAACCCTGAGAAACCATACTTGTAATTCCGAACCAGAGCCTTCTCATTCCTTCCAATTAACAAAACGTAACTGATTTCAGGTGTTGCTATTTGGCAGAGAAATACAACAATTTTTGCATAACATCATTATTCCTTTCTGAGTTGCGTTATAAGACTGTAATAAATTTCAAATGGGTTATATATTATCACTGGATTTATGATAGATTTCTTGCATTTACCGACTATGTTGATAACATATTAATTAATTTACCTCGTTAGCACTGAATTCAGAACATAAGCATGATCATCCCGAAGAGAATCTTTAGCGGCTCCCATATACACAATATAAACTTCACGGTTGGTCTCATCCTCACTTCCATTCCCTGCTTCAATCACGTCTGCAGATGATGATCTTGATTCTCCTAGAAACACCAAGAGAACATAGAACAATAGCAAGAAAAATGTATTGGCTTTCATGCTCCTATTCTCTTGCACTTTCTTCGTTTTCAATAATCAATGTACAACTCTTCCATAGATTGCACAAGCCAATGGGGAGTATGCATGCTTGGCAGCACCAGCACAAACATATATATAATAGTATTAGCCTACTTTAAGTGTTTAATTGTGCCCGCGGTAGCTAGGTTCTGATATTAAAAAAAGAAAAGAAAAAAGAGCGCTACAATCTGCGATGGTGGAACTAATTATTGCATGCTCACTCCACAGCGCACTGCAATTACGCGTCAACGCAAAGTGCGGCATTTGAAGATATAGTAGGCCCGCCATATATGAAAATTTTGTAGATGGTGCTGCTGCGAGTGGAGGTAGCAACAAGTTACATACAATGCGCTTCCAAGATTACAGCTTCGCAAAATCAATATTATTATACATATACGCCACGTGATTCAGCTGAGCACAAAAGACTCCATATCCTCACCGATCATAGTATATAATTCCTTTCTTTATTTTTAATTGAAAGTGAATGACAGATAATTGATGAGATATAAGCAGCACAATTCCACACATTATTTTGACCTTTAATTGCTATCATGTAATTTCATGTGCATTAATATTAGAATATATAATATGTCCATGTAGGTTATGAGATTGGGAAAGAGATATAATCAAACTGGAAGAGTTAATCACATAACTCAGGAACGCCACGCCATTAAACTATTCATTGTTATGAGAAATACATTGAAAACTAATCATTTTTTGAAAAATTAATCTAGTATAAGACGGTATAATTGTAATATCAAATTAATATTTTATATTGGGTCAGGCCCAAAACTTTTTCTTTTTATCAATGTTGTGTGTATGAAAAAAAAATTCTTTTATTAAGTTTTGTGTGTAGAATTTCTTTACTTTCTTCATTTATACATGTACTTCTTTAGTTATGCAGGTAATTATTTTAATAGAATATGTAAAATATTTTATAATAAATTGATTATTTAAATAGATAATTTAAAAAGTAATTAAAATTTAAAAATTGATAAGGGTATTTTATTTATTTAAAATAATATAATTATAAATTTCATGTAAAAAGTAAGAATTTAAAATTATTCATTTTATTTTATTCTTTAAATTTACATTTCTGTTGAAAATACAAGGGTACGATGCCTGGAGATTTTGATAATGCTTTAGAGACAAAGGATTTTAAAATTAGAAGACTCATATATAGTTGTATCTATTTGCAATAACTTTGTTTTATCATTTTGAGTCTGTAAAAATAGAGTCTAAGATAATTAACACATAATCTGTCCAGTGAAAAATCATTCTATCTAAAATTTATTGTGATAATCGATTATCACTTGTGGATAATCAATTATCAGTAATCGATTATTGATAATCGATTATCACTTGTGATAATCAATTATTCTAACTCTCCTGGGTCTCTGAAAGTCTCTAAAATAATCGATTATCACTGTTGATAATCGATTATCCTGTCAAAATTATGTCTTCTGCGAAAATGGTTCTGCGATCATTGATTATTTGTGTCAATTATGATTTTGAATTTCAAATTTCAAACCTATTTTTGAAAATCCTAATTTCTAAACCCTAAAATCTCTATTTAAGGAACTCTCTACCTCTCTGTTAATTACAACTTTTTTCATACTAAAGTTTATAGTTGTGATTGTTGAGAGAACTTTGAGTATGGAAGAAAAATGAGCTTTTGTAACTTAGTATGGGATAGAAGCAATAAGAATCACTAAGTGGGTTTCTTAATGGATTGTGTGTTGTGTCGTTTCTAGGAAAAGTTGTCTTCATTCTTTGTGGCTGTTAATATTTTCACTCATGGATTCAAATTAACCGGCAAGTGTACCAAGTTTCGATGTAGTAAAGAGTTATCGTCCACAGGGATTTGTGACTTAGTGATATTGCAGATAAGATATGGTTGTCATCATGGATTGAAAGTATTGTTTAAGGTAAACTACTAAAATAATTGCAATTTTTTGTATATAACGAAAAGTGATTATAAATAAAGCAGATTGAATTACATGCACTTGCTTCCAACCCTATTTCCCAACCATATGATTTCTGTTTTACAATTTCACTCTCAGTATATAACTTGGCCCGATTCCTCAAAACCAAGTCCTAGGGTGTTAACCATGAATGTGATTCCTCAACAGTTCAAACCCAACACTCTGCCTTACAAATAAATCTTGAGATTAACGTGATTAATAAACACACTTCTATTCCTAAAGAGGTTGTCTATTAAGAATTTGATCCATTTCTGGTTAATGAAAACATTTTCCAACACAATCAAAACCCTAAGATCTTAAATCGGTTAATCACTCCGAAGAAAGCATTAAGAATAGAATCAAATACAATTGTAGCAAACAAAAATCATATATATGGAGAAATGGTCTAAAAGTAGTTACATGCAATCCAACCAAAGAGTTTTAGCTCGTCATGGAGGAACTCATTACAAAGCAAGAGAAGAAGGAAAAGAAATTACAACAAAACTTGTTGGATTCAAGTTGATATGCGTTCTCACAAGCTCCTTTAGGTCTAAATCGTCTTTCTTTCTTTCTCCCCGCGCAAGTCCCCCCTTTCTCTCTGTTCTTTCATTTCTTAAATAGAATTTAGGTCTAAGAAGAGGAAAATCCGCTGGGCGCCGGGATGATGCGCTGGGCGGATTGAGCCCCGCATGCATCCACTTCGGTCAGGGAAATCCGCTGGGCGCATTATAAATGCGCTGGGCGGATTTTCTTCCTCCAAAATTTCTCTTTCTCTTTCTTCAAATCCTGAATCAAAGAACAACTTGAGAGAATAGTTACTTGATAAAATCTTCTCATGATTTTTATACTCTTTAAGGTTAAGATTACAGCAAAAAGATGCAAATGTTGTCTAATAAAGGTGAGTTTCTCAATGAAATTTATACTCAATTAACTCCTTAACAATGGCTTCAAATGAGGTGTTCATCTCTTGTGTGACTCAAGAGAGGTATTTTTTAATCCTTATTATTTGTAATTTGTAATCTATTTGAACTATTGTTTTAGTGACTGGGTTAATCCTCTTTTAGAGTGATTAACAACTGGACGTAGGGTCTTTTGATCCGAACTAGTATAAATTACTTGTGTAATCTTCTTCCCTTATCTCTTTACATTTCAAGTGTTTTATTGTATTATCGTTTAATCGGTAAAACTTGGGAAAATTTTTTAAAAGGGAAAGTATTTTATAAAAAACCAATTCAACCCTCTCTTGTTTTTTTTTTCCTAAACGCAAACATTCCACTGCGCGATACCAACAAGTGGTATCAAAGCTTGCTTTGATAGTTTTTCAAATTTTCGATATTGGCCGGACAAAACCAAACTTTTGTTGAGGGTGCCTCTATTAGTAGACCCCCACTTTTTGCTAGTCAAAATTATCCTTTCTAGAAAGTTAGGATGCAAATATTTTTGGAGTCTGTTGACAGGGGTGTTTGGGAAGCTATTGTAAATGGTCTCTTTATTCCAAAAATGATTGTAAATGAAGTAGAGGAACCAAAACCATTTTCTAGATGGACTACTGAGGAAAATAGAAAAGTCCAATATGATGTTAGAGCTAGAAATATTATTTCATATGCTTTAACCCTTGATGAGTTTTATAGAATTTCAATTTGTAAAAGTGCTTAAGAAATGTGGGAAATTCTAAGAGTAACTCACAAAGGAACCGATGACGTGAAAAGAGCAAGGAAAAACTCATTGATACAAGAATATGAGATGTTTCGAATGCAACAGGGAGAAACAATTTTTGATATTCAAAAGCGTTTCACTCATATTGTTAACCATCTCTCTGGACTTGGTAAGAATTTTGATATTGACGAATTAAATCTTAAAATTTTGAAATCTTTGGACAGGAAATGACAATCCAAAATGACTGTCATCACGGAGTCACAAAATCTAGCAACAATGACAATAGCGGATCTCTTTGAAAAATTGAGAGAGAGCACGAACTTGAACTAGAAAGGTTAAATGATGAAGAAGGTCAACATCAAAAGAGAAACTTAGCCTTCAAAACTGAGATTTCCAAAAACAAGAAAAAGAAGGAAGAAGAAAATTCTGATAGTGAAGAAGATGAAAATCTGAATCTCATGATAAAAAAATTCACCAAGTTCATGAAAGCCAAAGGCAGGCAATCATTCAAAGGTAAGAAGAATGAAAAAGAAGGGTCTTCATTAAATTTCAAATGTTATGGCTGTGGTGAAACAAGGAATGTGAAATCCGACTGTCCCAATAACAAAAATAGTAATGATACAAAAGGAAGAAAATCCTTCAAAAAGAAAACCTACATTGCGTGGGAGGAAGTGACTTTAGTTCAGAGCCAAGTGATTCTGAAATTGAAGCAAATATTTACTTAATGGCTAATGACAATGTATCTTCCGAATATGGATAAGTGATTCAGATTGTTCTTCATGTGATGATGAAAATGATTATGATGTTTTACATAATGCATATCAAGAGTTGTTTACTGCCTTTAAGGACTTGAAATCTGAATATAAAACCGTGAAAAAGAGTTTAAATAAATCATAAAAAGAAGTGGAAGTATTAAAACCAAAAATTGCATCTTTTGAGGAAAAAGAAAATGAACCAATTGCATGTGCATCTTGTAAAAGCTATGAATTTGATATTTGCATACTTGAGCATTTGCTTGAAAAAGCTACAAAAGACAAGGTTGATGAAAATAAAAAATTTGTAAAAACTAAAGGTAAGAGTCATGTTTCCTTGAGAAAAACTAAAAATCAAAGAACCCGCAGAGTATGGGTTGTAAAAGGAAGTGTACCTTCACAAAGTAGAAATGAATCCTTTTCAAAATTTAAATCCCCCAATGCATGTTTTTATTGTATGAAACAAGGACATACTTCAAATAAGTGTAAAATTAAACACTTTGGTGTTCCAAAAGGAAAATATATTTGGGTGCCTATAATTAAATGATGTACTTGTCTCTAACTCCAAGGACCTAAAAGTTATGGGGACCTAAGATTATTGTGTTCTTATTTTGTAAGAAATTTCAAGATCCAAAAAAGTCTATGTGGTACCTTGACAGTGGATGTTCAAGACACATGACTGGGGATAAAAAGAAATTTACAAGTTTCATCAAGAAAGAACAAGGATATGTAACTTATGGAGACAACAACAAAGGTAAAATCCTTGGTGCAGGAAACATTGATGGTGCAAACACCTTGGAGATAAAGGATATGCTCCTTGTTGATGGACTAAGGCACAATCTTCTAAGTATAAGTCAACTTTGTGATAAAGGTTTCAAGGTAATTTTTGAAAGTAATTTCTACACCATACATCTTAAATATTCTAAGGAAGTTGCATTAAAAGGTATTAGGAATAACAATATTTATTTGATTGACTTGGATTGTGCATCTAATGTTGATATAACATGCTTGGTTGCTAAAGAAGAAAACGCATGGTTATGGCATAAGAGAGTAACTCATATAAATATGCATCAATTAAACAAGCTATAATATCTAAAGACTTAGTTGTTGGATTGCCTAAATTAAAATTTGAAAAAGATAAATTATATGATGCATGTAAAAAAGGTAAACAAGTAAAATCATCTTTCAAAACTAAGAATATAATTTCCACATCAAAGCCTCTAGAACTTTTACATTTAGATTTATTTGGACCATCTAAAATCAAAAGTTTTGGTATAAATTATTGTGCTTTTATAATTGTTGATGATTACTCTAGATTTACTTGGACATTTTTCTTAACTTTGAAAAGTGAAGCTTTTAAGGCATTTAGAAAATTTTCCAAGCAAATTCAAAATGAAGAGGAATTAAAAATTAAAGTGTTAAGAAGTGACCATGGTGGAGAATTTCAAAATGAATCTTTTGAAAAGTTTTGTGAAGAGAATGATATTTTACATAATTTTTTTGCACCTAGAACCCTCCCAACAAAATGGTGTAGTTGAAAGGAAAAATAGATCACTAGAGGAACTAGCTAGAACAATGTTAAATGAATCTAATGTCCTAAATATTTTTGGGTTGATGCTGTAAGTACTCCATGTTATGTTTTAAATCGAATGCTCATTAGACCTATCTTGAAAATGACTCCTTATGAGATATTTAAAGGAAGAAAACCAAATGTAGTTCATTTGAAAATCTTTGGTTGTAAATGTTTTGTATTAAATAATGGTAAAGAAAATTTAGGTAAATTTGATTTAAAAGCCGATGAGGCTATCTTCTTACAATATTCACTTTCTAGCAAAACATATAGGGTATTCAATAGAAGAACTTTGAATATTGAAGAATATGTGCATCTTACTTTTGATGAAGTTGTAGACTTTGAGGAAAATCCTCTTGAATCAAGAAAAGACATTGTAGGAAATGATGAATATGATGACAAGTACTATGAAGAGTACTTAAGGGAAGCAGGAGAACAAAAGTATTTGAATGAGAATAAACCATATCAACCAACTGGGTTAGCAAAAGAATGACAATCACCAAGAGGACTATCACTTGACAACATAATTGGTGATATTTCAAAAGGGGTAAGTACTAGAAATATGTCTAATTTATGTATGACTGTAGCTTTTGTCTCACAGATAGAACCCAAGAATGTTGAGGAAGCCCTCAAGGATGATCAATGGTGTATTGTTATGCAAGAAGAATTAAATCAGTTTGAAAGAAATCAAGTCTGGGAAATAATTCCAAGAGAAGAACATTATCAAGTAATTGGAACTAAATAGGTATTTAGGAACAAGCTTAATGAAGATGGGAACATAACAAAGAATAAAGCTAGACTTGTGGTAAAAGGGTACTATCAAGAGGAAGGTATATATTATGATGAAACTTATGCTCTTGTTGTCAGGTTAGAGGCTATACGTCTACTTCTTGCATATGCTTCAATGATGAAATTCAAATTGTATCAAATGGATATCAAAAGTGCTTTTCTAAATGGTTTTATTAAAGAAGATGTATATGTGCAACAACCTCCGATTTTAAAGATTTCAAATACCCTGATCATATTTTTAAATTGAAAAAGGCACTTTATGGATCAAAACAAACTCCTAGATCATGGTATGAAAGGTTAAGCAATTTTCTATTAGCTAATGACTTTTCTAGAGGAAAAATTGACTCAACTTTGTTTATTAAGAAAATAGGTGAACATATTTTGTTAGTTCAAGTATATGTTGATGATATTATTTTTGGATCTACTGATAACTCTCTATGTGAAGGATTTGCTAGTATTATGCAGAATGAATTTGAAATGTCCATGATGGGAGAATTAACCTTCTTCCTTGGACTTCAAATTAAGCAACTAAATGATGGCACTTTTGTGTCTCAAACAAAATACTGCAAGAAGATTCTCAAGAAATTTGGAATAGGCACTGCAAAAGAAGCAAACACACTGATGAGAATATCCTACTATCTGGATAAGGATGAATCAGGTTTGGAAATTAATCAATCAATGTATAGAGGTATGATAGGCTCTCTATTATACGTAACTGCAAGTAGACCTGATATTATGCATTCTATTTGTGTGTGTGCTAGATTTCAAGCATGTCCAAAAGAATCTCATTTAACTGCAATAAAAAGAATTTTAAAATATCTGAAAGGAACCACAAGATTTGGGTTATGATATCCTTCTGTAGCTTCACCTAGTTTAATAGGTTTTTCTGATGCTGATTATGGGGGTTGTAAAATT